AACTCTTCAGATACAATAATATGCCTTTTAGCCAGGTACTTCATTAAGAAATCAATGCAGAATTTTATAAAATGTCTATAATGCTTCTAGGGCATCATTACCAATGAATTTCCTTATTGAATACGACAGATGAGATTAACATCTGGTTCAGAGTTCAACAGGTAAATGGCTAGCTACAAAGCTATAAGAGTCAATCCTCAGATAACAAAGTCACTTTGGTTCTCAAAAAATGTATAGGTCCAATACAAGGCAGATTTGAATGAAATCTGAATTTGAATAGAATAGAGCTGGAAGGGACATTGGAGGTCTTCTAGTCCAGCCCCCTACTCAAGCAGGAGAACCTATACTATCTCAGACAAGTGACTGTCTAGCCTCTTCTTAAAAATCTCCAGTGATGGGGCGCCCATGATTTCTAGAGGCAAGCTGTTCCACTGGTTAACTGTTCTCACTGACAGGAAGTTTCTCCTTAATTCTAGGTTGCTTCTCTCTTTGGTCAGTTTCCAACCATTGTTTCATTTGAATGAAACACAGTGCAGAGTTGGAAAAGTTCAGAGTTTTCTGAAGTAAGAAAGTCAACATCATAGAATTAAAAATGTATCTTCAATATAAAGAACACTTTATAAGAAGACTGGATGACTTTGGACCAGACATTCTCTCTCAGCCCAACTCACCTTATAGGGTTGTTGTTGTGGGGAAAAGAGAAGGAAAAAGGAGCTATGAGCCCTGTCTTGAGTTACTTATAAATAATAAAGGCAGGATAATAATCTAATAAATTTAAAAAACTATATAGCAATAGCAATAGCACTTAAGACTTATAGACCACTTCATCGTGCTTTACAGCTCTCTCTAAGCCATTTGCAGGGTCAGCCTATTGCCCCCCCCCCAACAATCTAGGCCCTCATTTTATCAACCTCAGAAGGATGGAAGGCTGAGTCACCCTTGAGCTGCTCGGGATCGAACTCCTGGCAATCAGCAGTTAGTAGCCTGCAATGCTGCATTCTAACCACTGCACCACCATGTAGTATGTTCCATTCCATTGTATGATCCAATATCTAAATTAGCGATTTGCAAACATTGCATTTTATCACACATTGCAGAAACCTTCAACGAGAAAACAATATTCAAATGTCATTATTATTTTGAATGGTTTAGTTTGCAAATAAAGGTAGTCCTCAGCTTACAAACATTCATTTAATGACCTTTCAAAATTACAGTGGCATTGAAAAAAGTGGCTTATGTCCAGTTTTCACACTTATGACCACTGTCAGGGGATCAAACGTTGGATGCTTGGCAACCGACATGTATTTATGATGATTTCAGAGTTCCAGGCTCCTGGGATTGTCATTTGCAACCTTCTTAGGGAGATTCTGACAAGAAAAGTCAACGGGGGAAGTCAGATTCTGTTAATGACCACATGATTCAGTAATTCATTCAACAACCATAGCAAAAAAAGGTCATAACATTGGTTGTGACTCACTTAACAACCGTCTTGCTTAACAATACAAATTCTGGCCTCCACTGTGGCTTTACGTTGAGGACTGCGTATTAAGAGTTTCTAATATATAAGCCTTGGGACATGAAACTAGGGGGACGTCTGGTGCACTTCAACCAGAAAATAGAAAAATAGCAGGCAGGAGTCCTTGCAGATGTTCATGAAGTCAAGCTCACAACTGAATTTAGATAGATAGATAGATAGATAGATAGATAGATAGATAGATAGATAGATAGATAGATAGATAGATAGATAGATAGATAGATAGATGGGCGGGCGGGCGGGCGGGCGGGCAGGCAGGCAGGCAGGCAGGCAGGCAGATAACTGTGGGCACATTGGCATACATTAAAAATGAAATTTTGTTCCTTGCTCTCAAAAGTGTACACATACATAACATACGTTTAAATACGCTATACACAACATATGTATAAACCTAGACCCTTGCATATAAATAACATATAAATATTAATCTCTGTCCATCTTGAATACGTAACAGAAAGAGGATGCTTTAGAGTTCCCAAGGTTAATACTGTCTGGAACAAAACTATAACTGAATCTGGATGTTCTGCTTCAGATACCACAGAGCCTCCTCCTCCTCCCAGAAGGTAACAAGGGAAACAGGTTGTGAAGAGGATGTATAGTGTCCCAGACAATCTTGTGGACCCTGCTCAAGCAACGCTTCTGGGCTATGTCCTGGATGGAAAGGAGGCAACTGCCAATAATCTTTTCTGCACTCTCTGCACCACCTTCCTGTCTGAAGCAGTGATGCTTCCAAACCAGACTCTAATGCTGTATGACAGGATGCTCTCGATCGTCCCTCTGTAGAAGGTGGTAAGGACAGGGGAAGAAAAATGGACAGCCATTTGTCCGAAATGGTGTAGGGTTTCCTGCCCGAGCAGGGGGTTGGACTAGATGACCTCCAAGGTCCCTTCCAACTTTACTATTATTATTATTATTATTATTATTATTATAAAATGTGCTATTCTCATGCAACACACAAAATGCAGGCCTTGCTGTCCCGCTTTACCAGTGTCTCACTGTTGAGTGACCAAGCCAGCTTACTTGTTAACTGCACACCCAGAAATTTGATGCTGGAAACCATTTCCACAGGTGAATCATTGTCTTTTTATAATGGAGATTTAAATTATTTTAATGGTGAGACTTGGTACAGGGTAATAGTTAAGATGCTGGATCAGAGTAAGGTTCTAGTCCTCTGTTAGGCAAGGAAAACAGCTGAATATCTTGGGCCAATCACTGTCTCAGCTCTAATCATCAACAGGGTTTGTGACAAGCTTGCTGAAAAGCAAAACTCTTCATTGCTTCATGCATGCATCACTTTTCTATGTGAATTGTAGCAAGTACAGGACAAAATATAGGACCTCCAACCAAGCAGGACAAATGCTAGGAACAACTGAATTCTTTCCAGTTATTTCCTCTACAGCAGGGGTAGTCAACCTTGGCTCTTTTATGACTCCTGGACTTCAACTACCAGAATTCCAGCTGGCTCAGGAATTCTGGGAATTGAAGTCCACAAGTCATAAAAGAGCCAAGGTTGACTACCCCTGCTCTACAGTAATGATATGCTGGGACAAGATCACAGTCTATGTTATACAGAAATAATATAGAAATAAATGAGAGTTAAGAACACAAAACACTTGTGTATAGGTACAAAAGATTAAAAGCACCCAAATGCAATCTTTAACATTTTATCAATAATGGATTAGACTTTTTCTTTTATAAACACCACTTTACAACTGCATTATTTCAGCGTTACAAAATCCTTTCAATATCAGTTTACTTGGTGGCAGAAAAAATGTGGTTGTTTTTATGTTTTATGTTCAGTATTCTAAGCAGACATAAGGGAAGAAAAGAGAGGGAGAAATATAACCCATTAAACGGGTTATAGACTTTCCAAGTTTCTATAGAAGCAGTTGAAAGTATTTATTTAAAATGCATCACACTGCCTTTTCTTGAAAAAGCTCAAGGCTAATAAAATGAATAAAACGTCAAACTCATAATCTAAAAACAAGGTTTATATAGCAATAACAAATCAGAACACTGAAACATGATTTTACTTGTGTCTTTCACCTCCAAACTGTTGAGAGTAAGGAAGATGACCGACCATAAGTTACCTTGAGGTAAGATGGGTGACCTTTAAAATTTATAAATAGATAGATAGACAGACAGACAGGCAAGATTGAAACATTTTTAAGTCCCTAATTTCCTGAACTATTAAAAGGAGGAGGAGGAGGAGGAGGAGGAGGAGGAGGTACAGCACAACCAAACTTGCAAAATTCTGTTATGACAGCCTATTGCAATAAAAGTAGTTTTAGTCCTTTGTGGAGTTGATTTTCTGGTCTGGTCTACCTAGTGGGGATGACATAAATAATCTATAGGTAACCCTCAATTTATGAACATAACAGCCCCAAATTTTTGTTGTTAAACAAGACAGTTGTTAAGTGAGCTTTGCCCATTTTATGACCTTTCTTGTCACAGTTGTGTTAAGTGAATCACTGCAGTTGTTAACTTAGTAACATGGTTGTTAAGTGAACCTGGCTTCCCAATTGATTTTGCTTATTGGAAGGTCCCAGAAGGTGATCACACAGCCCTGAGACACTGTAACTGTCATAAATATGTGCCAGTTGACAAACGTTTCCAAATGTCCAAGTTTTGATCATGTGACCATGGGGGTGCTGCAATGGTTGCAAATGTGAAAAATGTTCATGTCACTTTTTCCAGTGCCGCCCTAACCCCTAACAGTCACTAAATTAATGGTTGTAAGTCAAGGACTACCGTGGTGGCGCAGTGGTTAGAATGCAGTATTTCAGGCTAATCCTGTTGACTGCCGGCAGTTCGATCCTGACTGGCTTAAGGTTGACTCAGCAGTCCATCCTTTTGAGGTTGGTAAAATGAGGACTCAAGATTGTTGGGGGGAATATGTTGACTCTGTAAACCACTTAGAGAGGGCTGTAAAGCACTGTGAAGCGGTATATAAGTCTAAGTCAGGGGTTCTCAACCTTGGCAACTTTAAGACTTGTGGACTTCAACTACCAGAATTCCTCAGCCAGCAAAGCTGGCTGAGGAATTCTGGGAATTGAAGTCCACAAGTCTTAAAGTTGCCAAGGTTGAGAACCCCTGGTCTAAGTGCTATTGCTATTGTATTGGCACTGGATTTTCCAGGCACTTTCATTCTTAATAAAACAAAACAAATGAATAATAAATCAAGGCCAAAGAAGAATACATTTAAAAGTGTCAAAAGTAATTATTTAAAGTCTGTTCCTCTTTATTCATATACAGTCCTTTCATTATAACAAATATGCTTAAATCTTCTAAAAGATTTAAAATGCTTAAAATCCTCTAAAAACAATCAAATAAGCTTAATTATTCTATATCAATTTGATTATGTGTTACTCTTTAACCTAAAACTGTTACATATATTAACAGCAGCCAGTATTAATTCATTTGCTTAGTGCATCAAACATGATAGTAAAGTTCAGTATTATCTTACAGTAATTCAGCTGAGAAATCTTGTCCCAGTGGTAGGTAAATTTGAAGTACCAAAAATTGCTGGATCAGTCCAACTAGAGCAAAATAAAAGAAATAAATTGGGAATAACATGAATATTCAATACTTTCTTATTTCTCAAAATGTATCTACTATGAAAATAAAGAATAGAATTTAATTATTTTTGAAATATGCTCTTAAAAACAAAGTGTGCTCCGAGTAGAACTAGAACAAAATATGGAATTTAGTTATTTTATTTACAGTTTCCCACTTTGTTGACAGGGTGCATATTCAAAATATATTCTACAAAGACACAAAATTAATTAATGTCTTAACATTGTGACATAAATTCTTGCAAAAATGCAAAATAAGTGAACTTACAGATGACCAACATAAACTTTAGTTAAGCCATTTAAGCAATTAATGCCACAGCAAAATCAAATTTAGAAAAAGTGTGGACAAGTAAGGGTTTAATCTAATCTGAATGTTCAAAATGAAATGGGTAATTTAAATTGGAAATTTAACAGCAAAGGTTCTTGTAAAATCAAAATGTAAAAATGGCTTTCAGGAATAAAGCCTGAACAAAATCTGAACGTATTGCTCTTGAGGCTGCTTTAATACTCGTATGAAATCTAAATAGAAGCTGCCAATTCTGAAAGAAAATCCTCTTAATTTTCTAAGACCACCTCACTGTGAACCTTAATGGAACTGACTCTCTAGATACTTACCTGTCTGTCTGCCTGCTAGTCAACAGGTTAGTAAGTCTCCCAGAAGATCTTTCTATTCACTACTTTAAGCTGAATGCTGGACCTTTAAAGTGATTGTACTGGGCCTTTCTTCTATTCTTATGAAAAATAACTGCATTTTTCAAATCACAGGAATCAGGGAAGTATAGGATAGAATCTCAATGTATTCAGTTTGGAAGGACAATGCTAAGAATATTGAGTATGAGAACAGCAATGAAAAAAAAATCTGTTCTAATCACCAGGTTAAACAACTACAGCTAGCCCTTAACTTACGAACACAATTGAGCCCAAAATTTCTATTGCTAAGTGAGACATTTGTTAAGTGAGTTTTGCCCCATTTTACGACTTTTCTTGCCACTGTTGTTAAGTGATCACTACAACTATTAAGTTACTAACATGGTTGTAAGTGAATCTGGCTTCCCTTTTGACTTTGCTTGTCAGAAGGTCACAAAAGGTGATCACATGATATCAGGACACTGCAACAGTCATAAATATGAGTCAGCTGCCAAGTTTCTAAATTTTGACTGACAGTGATTCTCCAGTATCTCCATGGGATACTGCACTGGTTGTAAGTGTGAAAAATGGTTATAAGTCACTTCTTTCAGTTGTAACCTTGAACAGTTATACGAAGAACGGCTGCAGGATTTGGGCTTGGCTAGTCTAAAGAAAAGAAAAAATAGGGGAGATATGATAGAAGTGTTCCAGTATTTGAGGGGCTGCCACAAAGAAGAGGGGGTCACGTTACTCACCAAAGCACCAAAGGGCAGGACAAGAAACAATAGTTGGAAACTGATCAAAGAGAGAAGCGACCTGGAATTAAGGAGAAACTTCCTGACAGTGAGGACAATTAACCAGTGGAACAGTTTTTCTCCAGAAATCATAGGCGCTCCATCACTGGAGGTTTTTAAGAAGAGGCTGGGCAGTTACTTGTCTGAGATGGTATAGGTTCTCCTGCTCAAGCAGGGGGCTGGACTAGAAGACCTCCAAGGTTCTCTTCTATTCCATTCCATTCCATTCCATTCCATCCTATTCTGAAAAATCACATTTCAGCAGAAGTGAGCCAGGCTGCTTAGACCTACTATTGTAAAGTGGGGTCTGTGCACGCTCCTTGAAAAAGTTTTGCTGGTGATTGATCTCCAAGTTATTTCAAGATACAGCAGAGAGATGTAATTTTCTTGCATGGCAAATTATATCCTCAAAGGGTATTGTCAAGGAAGACTCCAATACTCATGCAACACGTATACAATTAGTTAGTTTGTACGCGTGTCTCCTTGGTAAAACTCTAAGCATCTACTGCAGTATGCAAAAATTATCCGTAGCGGAAGAATTTCCAAACTATCTCAATGAAGGGCTCAGAAGGGTGTCCAATTATCTGTTGGAAAATGTTGAGCAAACCCCATGGTCAGGTATCTAGTAATTTATGGAAAATTTATCCAGATTGAGTAAATTATATCAGCCCTTAGAGGTGTTTTTTTTTTAAAAAAAAATCCTTTGCCTAGCATTTTAAGGGGAGACCTAAGACTACAGATAGTCCTTGATTTAGGAACACAATTGAGCACCAAATTTCTGTTGATCAGTGAAACATTTGTTAAGTGAATTTTGCCCTATTTTACAACCTGTCTTGCCACAGTTATTAAGTGAATCACTGCAACTGTTAAGTTAGCAACACTTGTTATTAAGTGAACCTTAGCAACACTTGTTATTAAGTGAACCTGGCTTCTCCACTGACTTTGCTTATAACAAGGTCGCAAAAGGGGGATCATGTGATCCTAAGACAGGGGTAGGCAACCTTGGCTCTTTTATGACTCGTGGACTTCAACTCCCAGAATTCCTGAGCCAGCCATGCTGAGGGGAAAGGGAGAGGTTTCCAAGCTGAGTCATGCTGGCTAAGGAATTCTGGGAGTTGAAGTCCACGAGTCATAAAAGAGCCAAGGTTGCCTACCCCTGCCCTAGGACATTACAATCGTCATAAATATAAGTCAGTTGCCAAGCGTCTGAATTTTGATCAGGTGACCGCGGGGATGCTGCAATGTAAGTCACTTTTTTCCGTGCCATTGTTAACTTTGAAGGGTCACTGAATGAACCGTTGTAAGACAAGGACTACCTGTATTTTGATGGCAGCAACAGTGTTACACCTTTCTTGTCTGAAAGAATGGCAGCAAGGCTTAACCGTGTTTTTAAATATCCCTCTAAATTTTTGTTTCTAGAAATATAATTATTTCTAAATGAATTTAAATGGCCCATTGAATGGCCCTAGATCCTTTGCAAAATGCAATCTGACATAGGGTTAAGGTTATTTTTTAAAGACTGTTGTGATCTACTTTATCAAATGCCTTACTGAAGTCGAAGTAAATTATATCCACAGCATTCCTCTGATCCACTAATTTTGTCACTCGGTCAAAGAATGCAATAAGGTTTGTCTGACATGATCTGTTTTTGACAAACCCATGTTGGCTTTTAGTAGTGATTTTGTTTGCCTCTAGGTATGCGCTGATTCGTTGTTTATCTTTTCCAGAACCTTCCCAGGTATTGAGGTCAGGCTAATAGGTCTGTAATTTCCTGGATCCATTTTCCTTTTTTTAAAAATGGGAACTACATCAGCTCTTTCCCAGTCCTCTAGTTCCCCAGTGCTCCAAGATCTTTGAAAAATATAGTTCAGTGGTTCTGAGATCACATCTGCCAGTTCCTTGAGAACCTTGGGGTGTAATCCATCTGGTCCTGGTGACTTGAACTCATCTAGGCTGGACAGGTGCTCACTTACCATTTTCTTGCCTATCTTAACTTGTGTTTCTATACTGTTTTTTATGGCACTATTTTTGGTAGGTTGGTCTGTGTTTTCCCTTTGTGTAAAGACAGATGCAAAAAATGAGTTAAATAGTTCTGCTTTCTCCCTATTGCTTGTCACCTTCTTGCCACTTTCACCCACTAATGGACCAATCATTTCCTTTACTTTTTTCTTGTTTTTTACATGTTGAAACAGTGCTGGGCTGCATTAACAGAGGGATAGAATCAAGATCACGTGAAATATTAATACCACTTTACAATGCCTTGGTACTGCATCCAGTTTTGGTCACCATGATGTAAAAAAGATGCTGAGACTCTAGAAAGAGTACAGAGAAGAGCAACACAGATGGAGGCTAAAACATATAAGGAATGGTTGATGGAATTGGGTATGTTTAGTTTAACAAAGAGAATGATAAGGGGGGACATGATAGCAGTGTTCCAATATCTCAGGGGCTGCCACAAAGAAGAGGGAGTCAAGCTATTCTCCAAAGCGCCTGAAGGCACAACAAGAAGCAACAGATGGAAACTAATCAAGGAGAGAAGCAACCTAGAACTAAGGAGAAACTTCCTGACAGAACAATTAACCAATGGAACAACCTGCCTCCAGAAGCGGTGAATGCTCCAACACTGGAAGTTTTTAAGAAGAGACTAGACAGCCATTTGTCTGAAATGGTGTAGGGTTTCCTGACTGACTCAATGACCTCCAAGGTCCCTTCCAACTTTATTAATTATTATTATTGTATTATTATTATTATTATAAAAATATTTACTGAAAACTATTGTATGCGAAAGTATATACTGACTTACTGTTGTAGCAAAAAATAGTGACATAATAGCAAACATCTTGATTCCTAGAATTCCTCTCAGTTTACTTATTACTCTGGATTTCAGCTCCATTCCTGCAGTCCCATGAAGGATTTTCTTTCCATGCAAGGAGGAGAGAGGAAACCCTTCGGTGGGCTGTAGGAACATATGAGAGGATAAGGGATGCCTGCTGGGAAGACTTTAGCTCTGCACAGAGTTAAAAACATCTGGCAAACAGCCCTTTCACTCTCAAAGAGCTGCTTGCTGGGAGGATTTCAAGCAGAGCTGGAATCCTTTGGCAGATAGGTCTTTTGCTTAACAACCTGGGAGACTGATTAATGACTACAACTGGGAGTCCTGGGATTGGAGTTGTTGAGTGAAGCACACATCTTGCTCAATGACTGTTTTGCTCAACAACTCAGATCCCAGTTCCAAATGTGATCATTAAAGGAGGATTACCTGTATAGGAAGGGATATTTCATCCCTAAATGCAGATCATGTGCATGCCCAAACTTTACTCGTCTAAAATGCCCCACTTTTCTTCTAAAGCAAGCAATTTACTCTTTGACTGGGAATGCAGCTCAATATTTTGTTCATGAAAGTACCCAACTAGCCAAGAAAGACAAAGATAAACTGTTAGGAAGATGTTTGGGAGCTAAAGACCTGGCCTGATTGGTCCTTATAGTAAACAAATGTTTTATAACTGGTCATGCCTCTTATAAAACCAATCTTGTGAGGAAGAAAAAGTCTGCCAGGGCAGCCATTTTTCTGCGAATACCCAAAGAGGTTTTTTTTGTAAGTGTGCCTTTAACGAAAGCTTGACTTTGCTTGCTCTCCAACCTTTCTTGTACTTGTTTTTGTACAACCTTGTAATAAGTATTTCTTTGCTCCAGGACTTATTTGAGTTTAAGTTAGTGGCCAGCACTTACAGAGTATCAGAAGCCCTGTCTGGATTCTAATGGAGAATTAGTGAAGCAGTACCTATGGGTATATACACTTCATGGCCTTATTTTCCACTCCTATTTCAAGGGAATTTATCCCAAAATGGGAAATGCTGGAACAGAAATTTCATTTGCATTTGACTGCAAATAGGATAGTGGATTTCTCTAAGAAACTGTACACTCAAGAAATATTTCTTGTTACACAGTATGGGCAGGAAGGCCTAACAATATATAATTCTTTTGAAAAAAAATTAGACACTGCAGTTCCAAATTACACTGAAGAAATTTTGTCAAAGGCTGGAATATACTACACACCTTGCAAGAATGCTGTTTCAATATTATTCATTTTGAAAATACATGCAAATTTTGTAGACATGGAAAGGTTTGTCATATAACTCAAAAGGTCATCAACAGTGAATTTTAGTCAATACCTTTTGACACAATGACAGGTTTGTAATCAGTAAAAAAGACAGAAAAACAAAGGAGAGCCTTTTGCAGATCCAATGGCAGGGGAAAAAAAGTTAATATATCCTATACAGTTGAAATAACCAAAAGCCATTTCAAGATAAGTACAATTAGATTAACATCCACCAAGAAGTGGTATAGAGTAATGATCATTGGAAAGAAATGGAAAAATGCTCCTATAAATGTTTTTAGATCTGAGAAATTACAAGCTAAAGGCAGAAGTAATCACAACTGAATAAGTCTCTCTGTAGTGAAACAGTAAATTAGACCTGAACTTGTTTTGCATTTGAGAAAATCTTACCGTATTTTCCGGCGTATAAGGCGAACTGGCGTATAAGACGACCCCGAACTTCGGCGCTGAGTCGCATGCCTAGAAAGTCATCTTATACACTGGAAACTACTGTTATTTCCGGCATATAAGATGACTCAACGTATAAGATGACCCCCGACTTCGGCGCCGATTTCAACGCTTTTGAAAGTCGTCTTATACGCCGGAAAGTACTATCATAAGTAGGGCACAAAAAGTCATAAGCATGTAAGTCAAGTCACTGCATAGTAATGAAAAACAATACGGTGTTTGTGATTAGATATAAACAATTTGTTTAATGGAATAGAATAGAGCTGGAAAGGACCTTGGAGGTCTTCTAGTCCACCCCCTGTTCAAGCAAGAGACCCTATACCATCTTAGACAAGTGACTGTCCAGTCTCTTCTTAAAAACCTCCAGTGATGGAGCACCCACAATTTTTGAAGGCAAGTCGTTCCACTAGATAATTGTCCTCACTGTTAAGAATTTTCTCCTTAATTCCAGGTTGCTTCTCTCTGATCAGTTTCCAACCATTGTTTCTTGTCCTGCCCTCTGGTGCTTTGGAGAATAATTTGACTCCCTCTTCTTTGTGGCAACCTCTCAAATACTGGAATACTGGTATCATGTCACCCCTATTTTTTCTTTTCTTTAGACTAGCCAAACCCAAGTCCTGCAGCTGTTCTTCATATGTTTCTGAACTTTTTCCAAGGTCTAAACACTTTTTTGGTTGTATGGTGACCAAAATTGATTGCAGTATTCCAGGTGTGGTCTCACTAGGGTTTTATAAAGCGGTACTAATACTTCACGTGATCTTGATTCTATGCCTCTGTTTATACAATCCAGGATTGTATTAGCTTTTTTGGCTGCTGCTGCACATTGCTGGCTCATAGTCAAGTGATCGTCCATTAGGACTCCTAGGTCCCTCTCATAGTTATTGTTTTTGAGCTAGGTCCCACCTAATCTGTACTTATATCTTTGATTTTTCCTGCCTAAATGTAAAACTTTGCTTTTCTCCACATTGAAACTCATTTTGATGGATAGAGCCCATCGTTCAACTTTGTCAAGATCTTTTTGAAACCTGAGCTTGTCTTCTGGGATGTTGGCTATTCCTGCCAGTTTAGTGTCATCTTCAGATTTGATGAGTTCCTCTTCTATTCCCTTATCTAAGTCATTGATGAACACATTGAAGAATACTGGGCCTAAGATGGAGCCTTGTGGTACCCCACTGCTTACTTCTCTCCATGTGGATATAGTACCGTTGAGGACTACTCATTGAGTACGGTTTGTCAGCCAGCTACAAATGCATCTGGTGGTGATGTTGTCTATTTCACCTTTTCCTAGCTTACCAAGCAGTAGATTGTGGTCTACTTATAAAGTAACTCAAAAAGCTTTACATTTTGGTTTACTGAAGATTTACTTATTTAACATAAAAGGAGACTGAAGTAAAATTTAAATTGAAGCAAATGCTGTGCCACTGAAAATATTTTGGGAGTTGTGTATTAATAGCCTGTTTAAGAATGACCTAATCTTTATAACTTATGGAGAAGTCTTTATACACAATGGTTGCTGAATGTCAAGCCTAAAAACTATATTATTTTTTTGTGATGAAAATTTCTTCTAGTATTTGGAAGGACAGTATATGAACCTTTGATTTCAGTGTTTGAGCTTTTAACAAAAGAACAATTGTTTGCTTTCTTCAGCATATACATACTGGTTTAGCAGCAGGCTTCTGTGATATATGGATATAAAAGGTAGGTAATGCTTGATAGATTATATGATAAATGGAAAATCCAACAGAAACACCAACTGTTACTGCTCCTAAAGAGTTTAGTTATTGCAGAGTGACAGGAGCTGAGAATGCAAGTTTATGAAATATTAGCATTAGAATATCCCAACAACTGAACAGATCTGGAGTCATCTTATAGGTGTAAAATATTTTTTTTATCTTGTTGATGAAAACATTAGGTACTGTTAGGTGAAATTGGAAGAATATTGATTGCATTTAACTAGATCCTTGGGATGATATTACTTCATTGTTTGCTCTATCAACTTACTTGAAAAAGCATTCAAAGAAAAAAAATAAGAACTCTTTGGCAGTATAAAACTGGTATATATTAGAGATGTATCAATTCAAAAATTAAACATTCCAGAGAAACTGGTAATTGCTAAACCACCCCTAAAATTCAGGGAAGGTTCAACATGGTCTGGAAGGTCCCATTCTATTTTTTTTTTAACTTTAATGTTGAACAAATACAGCTAAAATTGTAACTAGACAACTATTATTCAGCTAACCCAATGCTAACTTAATTAACAGCTAGGGCTGTGCATAGCACTAGAAAGAGCTGCTTCACAAAATACCTTAGTGTAATCAAAATAAATCTGCAAGAAGCATTTTATATTTGGAATGTAAATGTTGGAAATATTTCTAACCTTTGGAATGTCTGTATAGCTGCTTCAAAAGCACTTTCCAGCTATCTGCCTGTTTATGTGCTTGAACAGTTAATTCGTTTAGTGAAACATACCACTGGAGAACAGCCTCATGAATCTTCTGAAGGGCAAGGTTGTTTGAAGCTTCATAAAGGGATGTTTTGTTCCCATTAATATACTTTGTGCACCACTTGTTCTGAAAACATCACACAGTCTAGTATGTTTTATGACATTTTATAATACTTTTATACTTACGGGCCTGCTTAGTTTCTTTTGGAAGCTGCATCTTGTTGGTTTGACCACTTCCTTCCAGGACAATGACGAAACCTTTCACTTCCTTATCATATTCCTAACAAACCAACAAAAAGCATGTCACCATCAAAATATCCCCTGCAGCTGAATAAATGCATCAACTGCAAGATTTATTAGTCATAATGCCTACTTGAATATGACAGAAATGGTTAGCCACACTCATACTTTGTAACTGTTAAGGTGAGTGCTATGTTTGATTTTAGGTCAGGAATTGCCAACATGCTTAAATGGTATTTTATAAGTCTAATATGAGTGGAAACCTGGAGTATTAAAATGGAATGGATGCAAAGCCTGTACGTTGATGTCAAGAGATAATATATGTTGAATTCACTGCCCAGTATAGCATAATTCTGAAAATGCACACCGGATCCACTGAAAATAACTCTTTCTTGTGAAAAATGGCATTGCAATTAGGATGTCAGGACCATCTTCCATTTAATATGTCAAAATATCATCCTTCATTTCCCTAACATTTACCATATTTGTTTTATTGGTTTTTCTGTCTTGACACCAACCTGCCATATTAAAACAGTTGCTTGCTTCACCATTTTACCCACATCAAGAAAAGCCTGAGCAGTTTTATGCAATTAGTTTAAGTAAATGAAACTAAAATACTTAAATTATATTTAGGAGTGAACAATCTATTTAAGATGCTGACCATGTAGGCTTCATGAAGACATCAGTAATTACCTTCCTTCCATTCTCTGTATCTCTAATCTTGTGAAAAAGCCTGGAAATACCTGATATCTTGAAAACTTGCCCCAAACTTGTGCATTTTATTTAGTCCTAATAAATATATTTCCTGACTAGAGATGTTCATTTTCTTAACAGACTAAAAGAGTTTGTTTTATTATATAGAAAACATAAAGACACAAACAAATATCTTTATCTTGTATGGTGCACAGTGTCATATACTGTATATGAACATGGGTGGCTATATAAATTTATCATAAACAAACAAACAAACAAACACGCGGCTCTGCTAAAATATATTCAAACAAAAACCTTGGAGATCTTAAATACACAAAAATCTAACAAATTTTATCTGCATTTAGACTAGTTATTGCTAGGTATTCTGCCCTGATAAAAGGAATGATGGAGGTATTATTTTTTTCAACGTTAGTCAAAGCTTTCATTTTTTTAAAGAAAAAATTTAAACTCTACACTTTATAATCAGGCTTTTACCATTTATTTCCAAAACATACTTTCCCTATGACTGAAGGATTGCCAGAAATTTTCCATTTGGTCCCAGTGTTCTTGCCTTGAGCACTGAAGATTTCAACGAATGGGCCACCCTGCAATTAATAAAAGAAAGAATCTGTCCCATTGTCATAAGAAATCAGCAAGGGTAATACTTACGTACTTCGTAAGTACATCTATTCAATATTCATTCTTACAATGAATATGAAGTGTCAGTATAAGCTTATTTCATTTGGATGCTCAACTGGCAACAGAAACTAGAAGTACAATTCAGTAGTTTATACTACCACAGTAGATGTACTCTTTTGTGGAGAAAATGGATCATGTTGCAGTAACTTCCCTTGTATTGTTACATTGTTGCCTTTGGAAAGTGTCCAAAAACTTCACCTAGTCTGAATTAATTGGGGCTCTCTAAATAGAATATATTATTTTAAGATGCTGTGCTTACCTATAAATCTAAAGTGCTGCATGATACAAGACCTGGTTATTTGCAGAACTGCCTATATACCCCACTGTGTCCGTCCATCCCACCAGATCTAACTGGGTCCCATGCTCCAAGTCCCTTCTATGAAACAGTGCCATCTAGTGGGCAAAGAAACATACAGAAGGCCAAAGAATGACTGCCTGATTGTTTATAATGAAAGACTGAAAGATACGGGAGATAAGGACAGTGAGAGAGAGGAGGGGAGAGAGAGGAAAAAATAGTGTATACAGGACAAGTAAGAATAAAAATAAAAATAAAATGGCAACAATAATGTAATGAAATGGTTTGTAATAGAAAAGAATTATGTTACAGAGTGCCATAGAAATGTGAAATTATGCTAATAGGGAGCATTAAAAAGATGTTTGGTAGAATGATGAACTGAAAGAGGCTACAGATGAGAAAAAATATGCAAAACAGCAAAAATGAGGACGAGAGAAAGATATACCATGTATACAAAGAGAAAAAGACAACTGCAGAGAATTTATTGAGAGGAAGGGTTATGTTCAGAAGGGTGAGAAAATGCAGAATTTTTGATGGAAATGATAAAGAGTTTGGGAAGTGAAAAGGGTTGAACAAGGAGATACAAGAGAATGAATGAAATCAAAAATTAAAATGGTCAAATCACGGGTGATGATATTGAAGTGAGGAAATGTTGGAAACAACATTTTAGAGCAGTGTTTCTGAACCTTGCCCATTTTAAGGCATGTGGACTTCAACTCCCAGAATTCCACAGCCAGCAATGCTGGCTGTGGAATTCTGGGAGTTGAAGTCCACATGCCTTAAAATGGGCAAGGTTCAGAAACACTGTTTTAGAGGTTAGCATGGTACTGATAGTCATACATCAAAGACTGGACCTGAAATGAATGCTACAAATGTTAGTATCCAGGAAAAAAAAAAGATGAAAGTCATAAATGCTGTGAGAATATTGAAAAGTAATAAGGATGCAAGGGTGGATAATATAATGTTAAACATGGATATGATTTGCTTGTAGAGTAGCAGTGTGATTTGTTTAACGTTTGTGTGAAGTCTGACAGTGGGAGGAATGCATTATTGTTCCTCAATGTAAAAAGAAAAATAGTAGAAGTGAATGCAAAAAAATATAGATTTATATGATGTCCAATTCGTATTGTGACTTTGAGTATCTAATCTCTCATTCAGTTCAATACACCAAAAAGATGAAAACAAAAAGAGAAAAGGCATAGCCACTCTGCACAATCCAACTCTTTAAAAACCAGGTTCATCTAATGCCCAGTCCAAAACACAAGGAAATAGTAGATCTTCAAGAACATTATTTGATAAGAAGTTGTTATGGGAATAAATGGAATGCTTAATAATATTTTGTGAAGGGAACAAGGCTAGGATTTCTGATAGCCAGTTGATTGTTTAATATGATCATGTGTAATGTTTAAGGAAGTGTAGTGACATTAGAGATTTGTTGTTGGAGCTGTGAATGCAAATATTGCTCTATTGTTGGCTGAGAGCTGCAATAACTTGCAGTGAACGTTGGAAAGATTGTATGCAGCATGGAATATGAATCTAAAAATTAAGTTAACAAAGAAGATGGAGAGTGGCTGATAAATGAACTGGTTTGACTATAAACACAAATGATCAATATGAAAGAAGTTTGTTGATGTGGGTTAGATGTGCAGACAAAACGATTGAGCATCAGACTGCAAAAACTGGTATGTGAAGGATGAATTTCTTCAAGCAAGGAGAACAAAAACCTATGGTGGATGGGATACAGTTGACGAGAATCCTCAAAAAGAAAGAAGTGAGCATTTTAAAGAGGAAAGTGCATGAACCTGTTGCAGAAGCAAGGAAGTTTGGAAAGAACAGAGATATAAAGCAAATCATGCTGACATACATTAGATTCGGCTCTATTTCCTTTCCTCTTATCTCATGTGTTTAGGATTTCCTTCTCATTTTCCATGCTGTGCAAGAAGCTGCTTATCTTGAAAGGGAGTAGCAATAATAGGTACAGTAGGTATTGAATAACTACTACTTTACTATGGAAGGTTTGTGACTTTTGTTGCTGTTTTGTCGGAAGTTATATGCACATCTGAATAAGGTTGTTTATTATTGTTTGGGACTGACAACTGTTTGTTAGGATTATTTTTTACAATATAAATTGTTAAGAGGTATAAATACTGGTATGCAAAACTCACTCATTTGGGAACAAGAGTGTTCCAGAAAAGTCCTGAACATTCTTTCCCCCTTCTGGACATTTTTAAGGTGGTACTGCAATTTACAGAAGTAAATCATTTGTAAAGTAAATCGAGATGTCCTCGGGATAATTCAACCCCGAAATAAACTTTGTCCAGAATGCCATATCCAGAACACACTGAATATTTTAAAATTCTATAGAACACAATATTTCTGAGTGGGTTATATTCTTCTTTATGTTTTTAACAATAGTTTTAAAATTAACTTTTAAATTGTATCTAGAAAATTTGGTATTTAATTTTACAATTTATGAAATCAACACTCTGCATTGAGTTTTGAAAAAAAATGGGAATGAATACATCTGGCACTTATTATTTAATCACTATATAACTACTCATGTTGAGAAAAAATAACTTGGAATAATATGTTCTATATGTCAAGGCCCAGTAACTGTAGCTTTTTAGACGATCTGAATATTCTTCAGTGTAAACCCATTACTATAATCTAACCTGAAGGCTATCAACAATGATCAATCCCATTTAATATAAAGGCTAGGACAAAACAGTCCTAGTGTTTCTACCACTCTATATAGGAGTGGGATTCAATCTGAAATACAAATAAGATCACAACCAATGTCAATTATCAGTGTCAGATTGGATTTTACCTGCAATTCATATGATAGGAGATTGAAATATTTTAGAACCTACTTCAAGCTCACATAAAGTGACAAAAAGGGATAAAAAGTCTCCTCAGAGCAAGCTGTATACTCTAAAGATTTCAGAGTTCTCTGGAGAAATTCCTTTGCAGCAACTTCGATATGGGAAAAGTTTATTTTTATTTATTTAGCTATTAAATATATAAGCTCCCTAAATGTTTATATCCTGTAAAGTTAGAAGGGATAATTTAAGTCAGGGAGTCCATCCCTCAAGCTCAAACTAAAGTCCAAATTAAATAATTCCCACTTTCCTGCACTTCCATCCCCAATGTCTATCCAGCCAGATCATACCTGGGTGTGACATTTTCTGGACTCTCCAGAAAATGTTTCTATTAGCTTTTACCACATTAAAATCCAACCTGAAAATGTGTTGCCATCCCTATATCCACAAACTTTATAATTCAGGCAGAGAATAAATAAATTGGAAAAAACATTTTATTAAATCTGATTAAAAATTACAATTACAAAGATAAAACTAATATAAATAGAAAAGAATGAAAAGAAAAAAATCAAAAGTGCAGAAAAAAATGGAAACTCTTCTAGTTTGTTATTTGTATATCCCTTTTTAATTATTAAGACATCAGCTGATTTCTTTTCTATGCCCAGTGTAGTATCTTTTTCCATGTCATTCTTACAGCCTGTCATTTTTAAATCCACTTTCAGATCAGTTGTGGTCTTGTTTAGTAAAACTTCTTGCACTTCCATTACATTTTGTAAAACACCATCTCTAGAGGTAGACACCCTTAAAATTAACTTCTGAGCCTATTATTAAAAAATATCCTTTGATATGCTGAATGTTAAAATATTTTCTTCTGTTCTGTAAGTCAAATTGAAGTGTTTGTCTCCTTTAATTGTTACCTTTAAAGTTCCTTCTGGTTTGCTCCAGTGTCCAACCATCAAAGTCTCATCCTGGTTTTTTTTTTTAAAGAGATTTCAAAACAAAAGCATTTTCCCATAGAAAGGATTTTTATAATTTATTCCAAAACTTTATCGAAATCAATCTGGGCCCTAAGTTTATTTTCAAAAATCAAAGTTTTACTCAACATTTTGCTGTTTATTCCAAAATAATTTTTAAGTCCTTACATTTGTATTTAAAATTTATTTCACTAAAGATTGAAGGAAACTTACCCAGTGCTATCCAAAGGTTCCTAATAGCAGAAAGCTATTAACAAGCAATTTCCAAAAGTGATTAGAAAACAAAGTATATGAACCTAGTGTCCTTTTCAAGGCGCCAATCAGTCTGAGGGAAAAGATGGCTATTCCCTCTTCTCTCATAACTCTAAACCACCAGGGATGGCTGTCCTGAAGTTTCTTTGTGAGGAGCTACTGTCTGGAGTACTTATGGGTGATCTCAAGTCCTCTTCTTATCTGGAGAGAAATTATACAGACCCAATCTACTTGCCAGTTGTTCATTCTGTGGCAGTTGCTGGGTAAAAATATTTAGCAGTTCACTATTTCCTCTTTCTCTAAGAAAGACAAGGCAGAATATAGTACCTTGGAAATACCCTTTCCTTCATCCTTATAACAACCCCCTAAGATTGATTACACTGAAACAGAATGACTGACTCAATGTCATACATTGGATTTTGTGGTCAAGTAAATTTTGAATCTAGCATTCTATTCATTACCCCATAGTGGCCATTGTCATCATCTTTAATTCTTCTAAGACAAGGGAAAGAAATAATGAATTTGTAGTATACACAGTGTGTACTAAGAGTGTTAAGCATATAATTTTTATTAAATGAATAATGCAAAGTCATAGGAATTCTATCTGGAATGTATTGTCAAAAATTTTATTTCTGCAGTCATTGTCCATAATGTTAATAATCTTGCCTTTTTTAAGTTTTCAGATCAAATAAGAAAAGTAGAAAAGGTTGAGAGTGACAAAAACCAATTATAAGCAGTTCACAGAAGAAACAAATAGAGAATATTTATATAGCTAAGCAGTTTTTCCTCAATATTATATACTATTGCCATGCTAGTATCTTTTTTCATTTCATTTCATTAAATAAGGACAAAAGAACAGAAATATTTCTCCCTTACCTGATATTCATTTTTGAACATTTTAGCAACTGATCAAATGATTTCAATGTATCAGCAAGCAGTCTGTTCTTCTAAAAGTTAGAAGGAAAAATATTGTCAGATTTCACACATGGTTTAATTAAAAACAAAACAGGAATATATTTTAAGTGTTGATTACTGCTACTACTATTCTCTAATATAAGAAGTAAAAAGTTTTTTTTTATTTATTTTGAACCTGCTGTATTGTGGTTGCTTTTGCTAATATGTTCACCTGGTTTTACATACAGTTCATCTCCTCTCACTTTATATATTAGTACTAAAAGATTTAGACTATAATGAGTTAAATAGCAATATATGTAGTGTTTGCGTTGCATATGCAAATGGTAAATTCTAAAATACATTAAAAAACATAACATGTCTGGAAAAGTACTAAATCATTTTAATGAAATCCTATGAAAGAATGTTATGAACATTTGAACAGAAGTCTTTTTACTCCTGCTTCTTTGATTCTAGTCAAACATATTTCTTTCTACTACTTACTATACCATTTATTTATGGAAAAATACACTTTCAGGATCAGAATACATAAACATTCACTTTACAAAGAAGATGATTTGGAGAAGAAGCCAAGGAACTTCAAAGAATTTGTGACTATCACATTATCTTATTTGATTCTCAAACAAAATATCTTTTTTTTTTCTCTAGGGATGGGGATGGAGAAGATCAGGACTGAATGCAAATTCCTTAAAGGCACAATTTCACTTCCAGGAATAAAATATTTGTGCATATGTAGAGCAATATGCAACCCCTCTACTCTTTATCATAATCTTTGCCTGGAAGTTAAACATAGGAAAATTCATTATATTCACGTGAAAGCTACAATTTGATTTATATTTATTAATGCACACTTATAAATTCATAAAAATGTAGCTTGAGGTGATGACCAGAATGCATGAATACATTACCATGAAAGGCTAAGAAAGGCCATACCCCATAGCCAGCCCTGTATCTTTTATGAGCATTTCTTTCTTTTGCAATCAAACTCAACCACATTGCAAAGTTGAAATCATACCATCCATGTACTGTATCTGGTTCCACCTACACTGTAGTTTTCATTGTCTCCAAACTATAGTAACTTTGGTCATAAATGTTTTCCTGAACTGAAATATTCAGTGTAAAAACCAAGAAAACCAGAACAAACAAACAAAACCGAGGTTACACCTATCAAAGATGGGTAGAGAAAAAAAAATTAAAAATCAAGACAAACCTTTTAATTAACCATTGTAATAATTCAGTTATAGAACTATTTTAGATTCAGATTCAGCTTTCCACAAGGAAACTCAATAAGGAAGCTGGCAGGAAGTGGGAGGTCATTCCCACTGCTTTTGTTTCCCTATTTATGTATGGAAATATGTCTGGAATGATGACTTAAAGGGGCAATGGCTGTCTAATACAAGTAGTTCTTGACTTACGAACGAGCTCAAAATTTCCATTGCTATGCAAGCCAGTTGTTATGTGAATTTTGCCCCAATTTACAACCTTTCTTGCCACAGTCATTAAACCAATCCCTGCAGTTGTTAAGTAACTGCAGTAATCTGCTTGTTAAGTGAATCTGGCATCTTTATTGACTTTGCTTGTCAGAAGGTTGCAAAAGGTGATCACATGACCTCGGGACACTCTAACCACCATAAATACATGCTAGATGCCATCACATGACCACGGGGATGCGCCAATTAAGCGTGAAAAACGGTCATGTCACTCTTTTTCAAGGCCATTGTAACTTTGAACGGTCACTAAACAAATGGTTGTAGGTTATGAATTACCCATAATCCAATAAATGGCAGAATCATATCTATAAAAATTATGGAAACCCCGTGAACATTGTTATGAAAGTATATGCATGTAAAACAAATGCCAGACTTTTACACTGAGCAGTAGCACCCTCCAGAATCGCTGCCTATTCTTGAGCTCCATGACCATGGCTCGCTCCTTCCTTCCTTCCTTCCCTCCCTCCCTCCCTCCCTCCCTCCCTCCCTCCCAAAGGTCACAATAACAAGATTTAGTACTATATAGATAGCCATCCTTATCCTTTCTGAGTATCACTGCCTTCTGGCAGTGACAGAATCTATAGTAAAAATAATGAGTGAGGCTTGGCCAAATGGGAGGAATAAATAAGCTGGATAGAACTAAACCTGAAAAAAGTGTTAAAAAAACAGAAGGAGAGAAGAAAGAATATTCTTGACATACCTGATTAACTTATACAACATTAATTATTAACTATCCCCTAGATCAGAGGTCCCCAATCTTTTGGGCATCAGGGACCGGTTCCATGGAGAGAGTTTTTTTCCGCGGACCGGAGGGTGTGTGGTTTTGTGTGCTGCCTGCATCCTGCGGAGGGGATTTTGCTTGTTTGTGTGGACCAGTTGCTGGCATTCCACGGCCCGGTACTGGTCCACGGACTGGGGATTGGGGACCTTTGCCCTAGATTACATGAAGAACCAGTCACCACATAAAGGCTGACTGTTCCTTTGAAGCTCTAACAGGCAAGCAGAAACTGGCATATATTGAGCATCTGATGCAAGAGGAAAATTGATTAGCAAAGTTGAGAGTACAGGAAGAACATAAATAATAAAGTGGATGGTAGGATCAAGGACTACTGATTACTGCTGAAGAAAGTTTGAATTGGAGTCAAACGTGACTAAATGGTACCTACCTATTATGTATGCAAACCTCTGTATCTCTAGACTCCACAACCACTATTGAGAATCCTCTAGAGAAAAATGATTTCTGAGTTTATATACAGGGATAAGGACCAATTGATTGTATAAATGGGGAGCCTTATTTTACAGGCAATTACATTTAAGTAATAGTTATTGATAGGATTAAACTGTATTAATCCAATTAACAACTTATTTAATTATGTTGTGCCAGCCTTGCTCTTTGGGAATATGGTTTCTTGGCATGGCAGGTGCATCAAGAAATAATGTACCTGTGTAAATAATTTGGGGGGGGGGGTTTAAGTTGATAAGTAGGAAACTGAACATTATTGATTACTATCTTTGAAACCCTTAATTGCATACCATAGATTTTTAAGATACTCTTCCTTGGTTACATTTTCCCATCTACTGTCCCCTCTTCACAGGCCAGTGAAAGCATATCCCCAAATCCAATCCTTCTCAGTAGTGGCTCCCCTCCCTTAGAGCAGTTCATTGACTAAAACAAAAAGGGACCCCCAATTTATGGCCACTGCAAAAACTTGGTGTTTCTACCTTAGAGGACCATTTAGGATTGATTCTGGAGAGGTCAATATAACTTTCAGTTTTAATATTTAATACGTTGTTTATATTTTATATTATCATATTATTCTTGCTGTATTTTTTTACATGTGCTATAAGCTGTCTAGAGTCCACTTGGATTGAGATGATGTATAAATTTCATAAATAAATAAACAAACACAGTATAGCCCTGCTGACTCATTCAAACACTGAACAGGAATAATTCAAGCAGTCATACATGTTAATATAGAATAGATTCATCTGTAAAAGTTACTATAATGATACGTATTAAAAAGAAAATTACTAGTAAAAGCAAATAAAGAATATAAACATTAATTTGAATAAGTATGGTGATACCTATACAAATTTGATTAATAAATAAATGATTCTGGTCCTCAGAAATAAATTATTCAGAAGTCTCTTGTGACTATCCAGAACGTGTCTTCCTTGCCCCAAATTTTACAGGGACTAAATGTGAATAAAACTTAGTCTAAATTTCCAAAGATCTCCCTTGAAGGAAAAAAAGCATAAGTTGTTTACAGAGAGCTGTTTATTATATTTATATTTCTATAAAAGTTCTGGAAACAGTAAAAAATTGGCAAAAGTGTAATGCTTATTTTTTATCCTGCCTTTATTATTTTTATAAATAACTCAATTAACTCAAGGTGGTGAGCATACCTAATAACAGCTTGCTCCTCCTATTTTCCCTACAACAACATTGTGAGATGGTTTGGTTTGAGAGAACGCAACTGGTTCAAACTCACCCAGCTGGCTTTCGTGCCTAAGGTGGGACTAGAACTCACAGTCTCCTGGTTTCTGGCCTCTTGCCTTAACCCCTAAACCAGGGGTAGGCAACCTTGGCTCTTTTATGACTCGTGGACTTCAACTCCCAGAATTCCTGAGCCAGCACGGCTCAGAAATTCTGGGAGTTGAAGTCCACGAGCCATAAAAGTGCCAAGGTTGCCTACCCCTGCACTAGATCAAACTGGCTCTCTTTTGGTATTTTGACATGATAGCTTATGATAAAAGTAAAAAAAAAATCCCTTGATGATATTACCTGGTTTTCTATTTCAGAAACATTATAGAATCAATAAATTAAAAACTTAATATACAGATAGGTTGGACTATGAATCATGTCTGGGAGTAGAAATCTGAATTTCAGAAAATAAAAATGTCTTTCAGTGGGACATGGCTTTAAATACTGTCCTGTTAATTTTATATTAACTACAGAATGGCAGATTCTATATTCCCAGTTAGGCTCATGTGCTATATTGAAAGTACATGCTTTTAAGGGCAATAAAATACTACGTTTTTTTCAGCCTTGGTTGAAAAATGAGCAAATGGCTACTTTATAGCATCCTATAAAGATGTCAAAAGCTGCCAATTTATTTGAAAAATATGTTAAAAACTAGAAGCATTTAAAATTCAAGGTGACATAACTTCACCGTGTTCTTCTGAATCATAAGCACTTTTTACCAAAATAAGAGTCCTGAAATGTTAGGTATCAGGCAGTCTGCAAATCAATTTTGAATACATGTTTATACAACTATATACAAATAAATATAAGCATGCATATGCTTTAATGAAAAAATCAACACGAGCTTTAATCAAGTACTTGAGAGGGAACGGGTTTGTTTATTTATTCACAGGATTTACAGAGCTGCCCAAAACAATATGATTCTGACAGTGTTAAAAAAAACACACAAAAAAACACATTAAGACAATAAACCATATATGGCTATACACAAAAAACCAAATGTTAAAAAAAAAGTAATGCAGTATACAAAATGGCAACCAAACATGACAAATAAACAACT